AACCTGTAATTCTTTATGGACTAAATTTTCATGAAAGGATGCTGACCTGATTCTTGGCTGACAGCAACAGAAACAGTCCTGTAAAATCACTTACTGCCTACAGCGCCAGAATACAGAATATCAGCATGTACTGAGCGACTGCTGTGTGCAGCCATATTCACTCACATACTCGACGTGAGGAAACGCAGCCTCCGTGCCTCAAAAGCTCTTCACTCTGTGAGGCAGACACATGGTCAGAGTTTTCCCAGTATTTCCCAGGCAAGGTCTAGCTCTCAGGACGGCTTCTCGAGAGGGGGAAAGAAAGGCTTTCTTGTTGACTAGTTGTTGACTTGATTTTCCCTTCTTTGTTCAGGAAAGTTGTTGCGTTTTCTCAGACACAGTGCTAGATCCTAAGGATATGGTTATGATGAAAAGAGGCGGGATTCCTGCTCAATCCAATAAACGGATGTGGTGGTTACATGGGACACTCCGGTGGCCCAGGCCCCGGGTGGTCCTCGCCCCGGGATCTGGGAGGCCCTGCCCATGACTCACCTGGCCCCCTGGGATGTGGCAGGAGTGGGGCTGCTGTCGCCCCAGCACTGGACACACGTTTTAAATTCAGAGGCTGAAGAAAAACATATTGAAGGTACTATTTGCAAATGTGATGAACATAATGTTTAAGCGGACACTGTGTTTTGACACTTTTATCAGGCGGTAGTTTCCTTTTTATGTGAGTCCTGGTGCCGGAAGCTTTGTTTAGTACAGAATATGTGAGCTGTGCAGATTTTAGCACTTTCTCTCTTTGGGACCTGGTGTGCCTGGAGCTGGGGAAGGGATTGCCGGCTCTGCTCTGTTAAATATTCCATCTTATCAAAGAGGTGTTTCATAAATTATGCATAACAGTAGATGCCACTCAATAAATATTTTATACGTGATAGATATTTTTGTCTGAAATTACTTTTTCACTTGAGCAATGATTTAAACCCTCGTTTCTAGTTTTATGAGGTGACACTTTTATAATATCATATAGTGAATGCAGCTTGAATGTCACAGAGCTTCAGGGCAGCATTAATCATAAATTCATCTGCCCCCACTCCCAGTCCTGAAAAACATACTCTTAATTCAGGTTTCACCCATCCTGTGTGGAAGTGTGTGTGTGTGTGTGTGTGTGTGTGTGTGTGTGAGTGTGGATCTGGGTGGGGCCAAGTAATGCCTTTGACCTAAAGCTCTGAAGTTATGAATTTCAAATGATCTTCAAAGTCTGTAAGACTTGTTTTAAGGAAGGAAAATAAGAAGTGTTTTTCAATGGGTTTTAAAAAATATATTAAACTAAACTGAGATAAAGTCCAATTTCTCTAGTGGGAGCAACTAGAATTTAAAATATTGCTCCCCCCTTTTGGGTTATTGTCCACTTTTCTGCAGAAAGAAAATGCATCTATCTCTGGGCTTAGGGGAACAGTCCCTCCCTTTTCACGTGGACAGGGAGGCCTGGAACAGTCCACCGCCAGGAGCCGCCTGCCGGGTGTGCGGTGCCGGCAGAGTTCAGAGCTCCCACTGAGAACATTTTTTCACGAGATGGAGCTGTATGATTAAGTTCTCCTCCATCATATATATCTAAAAAAAAAATTTTGATTTGAATTCTGCGGGCAAGGGGGAAGCAGAGATCCTGGCAGGATCGGAGAGGCAGGAGCGGGGTGGGTTTGCTGAGAGCGTTCAGTTCAGCCAGGACTTGCAGGGGCCTTGGTGTTGCAAATCAGGGTGACTGAGGTCTCCGGCCTCCAAGCCTGAGGCTCTGGCTCCGGGGCGGGAGCCCAGCTGATACGAGGAGTCATTGCAGAACAATGAAACACTTCATTTCCTTTTCTTGAATCTAAGTTATGCGTTGGTCATTTTCTCTGCGTATCTATTTAATGGCTGTTAAATTAAATTGCTTTCTCTCAAGTGATGATTTTTATTGTGTGTGTGTGTTTTTTTTTTTAACCGTCTCCTTTCACCACTTCACTCAGTCACCCTCTGGCCCGACCCCAGCTCTGCATGTGTGCAGGGGAGGTGCGGCTGTCTGCAGAGATGAAGGCCGGGCCTCCTCTCTGGCCACCGCTTTGCCCCAGAGCCTCTCAGGGGCCCCTTCTCTGCAAGGCTGCGAAGTTCTGAGTTCTTCACCGAGAGAGTGGCAGACTTCGTACATTGTCTTAATATTTAAACGACGTGAAATGCATGTGTTCAGTCCAGGGGTGTCAGGAGACCCAGTTATGCTTCAGGCCCTGCCGGGCCCTGGGGCCGCGGAGCTGTGTCGCCGCATCTGGTTGCGGGGGGTCGGGGGAGACGGAGACTCACCAGGGCATCTCTGACCCACGGCCTGTCAGCAGCTGGGCTGGCTCGTCTGCTGCTCCCGCCAACCTGGAATCACCGAACACAGCCTCATGCTCTTGGATGTGACTCAGTCTGAAGTCAGCACAGCCTAACCCCCAGGGTGGAACTTTCACCTTCAGTCTCCTGGCATCTGCCTCCCACCCAGGACTTCCCTGGAAGCCTGATTTCGAGGTCTCTTATCTTGGGTCAGATGCGCTGCCGGTGGTGGGCCTCCCAGTCTCTGCCCTGAGAGGCTGCTCTCCACCCTCTGAACTCCACGTGTCTGCCCCTCATTCGTTGATTTGACAAATACTTATTCAGGAGCTCCCCTGTGCCAGACGTGGAATTGGGCCCTGGGTTTCAGTCCAGTCGGGACTAGTGGTGAAGCTGTTTGTAACACATCACAGAGTGATGCTTGCCGAGGGGAGAAACGAGGCTGCCGTTTGCTCATTTGTATGGGGTGATTGGGAAGGTGGCTTTTGCGCAGAGTCCTGAGGAGGTGAGGGCCAAGGTATGCAGACATCGAAGACCTTTCTTCTCAACCGGGGCAGATTTGTTCCCCAGGGAACATTTGCCAGTGTCTAGAGACGTCTTTGGTTATCGCATCTCGGGGGAGAGTGGGTGTTACTGGCATCGAATGGGCAGCGGCCAGGGACGCTGCTACACCTCCTCGGGCGCACAGATGGCCCCTCATGAGAAGGAACCATCTGGTCCAGAGCGTCAGCGGTGCCGAGTGGGAACCCTCGGAAGGGACAGAGGAAGCGGCAGCCCACAAAGCAGAAGGAACGGCAGTGACCAAAGCTGGAGGGGGTGCGGGCGGCCCGTCTGAGGGACAGCAGGGAGCGTCGGGTCCTGGAGAGGAGTGAGCGGGGACCAGCTGCAGGGGTCACTTGGAGGTGAGGTCACGTGGAGCTTGTAGAACCGGACAGAGAGGGCGGCTTTTCTCTCAGTGAGCGGGAGGCCAGCTACTTGACCCAAGCAGCGCAGGGGCCTGCCGCAACGTCCCTCTGGCTGCCGGGGAGAGCGGGGACCACGGTCGGGGCGGGAGTGGTGGCATCCGGGTTCCCGCGGCCGCCCAGGTGTATGTGATGACGGCTGGGACCTGGCAGGAATGTGGCGCCGCTGGTTTGTGGTTACTAGATCGTGGCATGTTTTGAAGGTAGAGTCAACACTAAGTACTAGAGGGTTTAGAGGAGGAAAACGAGCAAAGGACAGCCTGGTTTTTGGTCCAGGAAACTGCAGGGAATGTTGGCATTTACTGAGATGGGGTGGGATGCAGGAGCAGGAGGAGGGGGGCATCATGGGCTAGACTTGCTGTGCATCAAGTCTGAGCTGCCTGTTCGGCATCCCTGCAGATGTGTTGAGGCTGGCAGGTGGATGTACCATGAGTGTGGTGTTTTGAGGGGGAGGTCTGCTGGGAGAGTTAGATCTGAGAGTCATCACACAACAACAGCCCTCCCTATCTGCGGGCTCCACATCCATGGAGTCACCCAACCACAGATCAACAATATTTGGAGAAAAAAATTCAAATAGTTCCAAAAAGCAAAATTGGAATTTGCCATTCTCCAGCAAAGATTCACATAGCATTTTCACTATATTTAGAACTATTTACATAGGATTTATGTTGTATTAGGTATTATAAGTAATCTAGAAATGGTTTAAAGTATAAGGGAGGATGTGCATAGGTTATATGCAAATACTATGTCCTTTTTATTTATAATTTTTTATTGAAGTCAATTACAATTTTGTCAGTTTCTGGTGTACAGCATAATTACTGTGTCCTTTTATATAAGGGACTTGAGCATCCTCAGATTTTGTATCTACAGGGATCCTGGAACTAATCCCCTGTGGATATCCAGGGACGACTATATAGATTGTGTCTATAATATAGACGAGTCAAGAGTCAGGATGAGATCCTCAAGGGAATGACTGTAGATGCTCGAGTTCCTAGGATGAAAGACTCCATGGAAGTGGGTTCAAGAGAGAAGCCCGAGGGGAGGAACTGGAGAACCACAACCGTAGGGAACTCTTTGGAGGTGATTTGCTCTTAAGGGGCACAGAGAAATTGGTGGCAGCTGGAGGAAGACCCCAGGCCACGGGAGGTGGGGGTGGTGGTTGGTTGGAGATCTGTAGCAGGTTTGTGTGCAGGTGGGAGTGATCCAGTGGATAGGAGGTGATGCAGGAGACAGAGGGTCAGGTACCTCTGTTTGAGTGGCTCATGCACAGGGAAGGGTTGCACTTAGGATCACGTGCAGTTCGACCCCAGTAGCTGGAGACAAGAGCCACCAAGTCAAGAGACATCTAGGTGTTAAGTGAGATAAAGATTCTGAAAAGGGGAAAGATGGTGTTGTGGTCGAGTGGTCCTAGAACCTTTCCTAAGGAAGCAAAGTGTGAGCTTAGCTTCGTGTGCACACGTGTGTGTGTTAATATATATATGAATCTTTATCAGGCAGTAAATTGAATTCATTTTTTATTGAGCTTTTTATATGTTCCAAGCTCACTTTGCCCATTCTAGGCCAGGATTTCAACATGAAGTTTACAGTCTGTTTTCTTGCCAATTTTTTTTGGATGAGAAATAAAATGTGGCTCATCTTAATACTCTAAAGAGCACCGAATATAAAGTTTTCTTTCCCCAGAGTAACCTTTTCCTCTTCTTTTCCTCCTGATTTCAGGAACAGACTCTGGCCCTGAGGAAGGAAGGGATTGGTGTTGTTCTGGATTCTGAGCTGCCGCATTTGATTGGCATTGATGACGACCTTCTGAGCACTGGGATCATCTTGTACCACTTGAAGGTAGAAGCTGCTTGAGTGCAACACGCTCATTTTGTTTTCAGCTTTCCCTTTGGACACTAGCAAGGTCCATGGTGATCCTCCGTGTCCGCGACACAGCTATGACGGTAGAGAATGTGCAACAAATCCTTGAGCCCCTCGGGGATGTCCAGCAGTTCACTGGGATTCCGTGGTATTAGAAGTGCCCATTTTGTGTAGTCCTACAGCTAAATGAAGAGCCATTCACTCTGCCTTCTCATTTGTAGAATCAGTAAGTGGAATGTAAGTAACAAAAAGGCAGACAAACCAAGGAAGAAAAGTTAAAAGCATCTCAAACTGGGATTTGTTGTGTGTACGGTTTCCTGGCCCCCGTGTTAATTATAAAGTTGTGTCTCCCACCTGGTCCCGAGCAGGCTGTCCGTGTCAAGAGAGCAGAGTTCCCGCATCTGTCTCAGTGGTCGCCTCTGTGACCTTGACTTGGGAATCCTCTCTCGATCCATGACTTAAAATGAGAATGGTCTCGCACTTGTGCTTTGTGGGCTCCCACAAGCCGTGTCTATAGACACAAGAAGCCCCTGGCCACGGAGGGGAGACGTGTCAGAAAGGATCGGGAACCTCAGTGAGACTGCTGTCCTGGGCAGGTGACTGACGCGTGCTGGTACAGGAGCCTAGCCCTGGTCCGGCGCCCAGCCTCGGGAGTCCTGCCGCTGTCCAGACAACACGGGCAGCCGTTAACTCCAGGCGCGCCGAGGCTGTGGTCTGCCCGGGACGGAGCTCAGCCCATCGGTCACCAGGTTGCTTGGGCTTCAATGAACGATGGAGGAACAGACCGCTCCTCATGTTCTTGCTAACACATTTTTCTTGACTTTTCTTCCCAGGAAGGTCAGACATATGTCGGTAGAGAAGATGCTTCAACAGAACAAGATATTGGTGAGAATCTTTTTTTTTTGGTGGGGAGGTAATTAAGTTTATTCACATTTATTTTTGGAGGAGGTACTGGGGCTTAAACCCAGGGCCTCATGCATGCTAAGCATGTGCTCTGCCACATGAGCTATACCCTCCCCTGAGAATCTTTATCAATTCCCACTTCCCAGTGATTCCTTTTTTCCCGTTTTTTTATTTTTATTTATTTAGCGAACTTTTTTTGGGGGGGGGTAGGTTTATATATTTATTTTTAATACAATATTGACCAACATGTATAGTCTATAGTTTTGAACTCAAAGGAATAATGCCGAGCAGTTAGCTGAGTGGATAAAATGGCACTGTGACTCCTCCTCACCCAGCACACATCTATCCTCTGTCACGTCTTTCAAGTGAACCGTTGTTTAAATCACTCGAGTCTTGTCACAGCGGGGAGTGATTGATGGCAGTGTGCTCACAGGTGCAGATAAAGGATGTAAGACCCTTTAATGAGAAATCTTCCCCAGTTGACACCTGTGTAAAGATGACGACAGAAAACAGGACACACACCCAGACACACAGCTCGCACATGTATGGAGCACGACTTCCTGGGTTTCCCCGAAGCCTTTGTGAGGTGCAAGTACCGGTGATTCAGCCCCTGCACCTGGTGTGGTCTTGCCAGGCTTTAAGCATGACTTAGGGAATCCATGCGGTGGTGACAGAGTGTGTGCATGTGCGTGTATGCGTTTGAGCGGGGACAAGGTGGGGATTGCCAGGGGAAGAATGGTATCTTCTCAGCTGTTTTCTTTTTGGTGGGGTGTGTGTGTCTATTGAAGCATAATCAGTTTACAATGTTGTGTCAGTTTCTGGTGTGCAGCACAATGCTTCAGTCATACAGGAGCATACATATATTTGTTTTCATATCCTTTTTCACACTAAGTTACTACAAGATACTGGAGACAGTTCCCTGTGCATGAACTTGGTTGGTTTGTTTGGGGGTGGTGATGAACCGGCTTCTTGCCAAGTGTAAGCTGTTAATCAAGCCAATGCTCACATATCCCCATGGGTATTTGCTATTTATTGTGAAGCTGGGAGAACTGAAAACCAGTTCCCTGAAGTCCTTAGGTTCAGCTGGCTTTGGGTAGAACTAGGCGCCAGGCCTCCTCTTCTCATCATTAAATGAACGTGTTTGACCTTTGGGCTTGTTATGAATGGTGGTAAATGCTAAGAGCATGTGTTTTCTCTGAACACACAAGCTCCGTCTGCAGTTCCCTGAGGAACAGTGGGAGCTGCTTGGCTGGCGCTTATGAGAAGCCAGCCAGGAGCTGTGCCGGAGATCACGTGGGTGTGTTTGACTGGCGTTCACATCTGTGCCTGGCCGTTCATCAAACAAGAACAGCTCAGGACAGTCACCTGGGAGCAGGGCCCCTTAGCCGCAAGCTCTCAGAGGCCTGCGGAGGTCGGACTCTCTCAGGACCGGCCCGGTGCAGCTTCTGGACACTTCCTTGGCCTCCCAGGATCCAAGCGCAGCCACGTTCACCTTGGGTTTGTGCTCCTGGAATGCAGTGTCCATCAGTGTGGAATCATGAGTCCTTGAGCCATGGGCCCTTTTGTCCCCTCCACTGTACTGTGACCTTGGGGTGGCTGGTGGAGGAAATTTATTCAGCCTCAGAGTGACTCAGTGGTATTCAGTTAAGATAAGTTACTCAACTCTTTTCTCCCTGAAGATGAAACAAATGAACACGCCAGAACGTCTTTCCCTGCACAGGTGATGTCCAGACCCACGGAGTAACATTCAAGGGGCAGGACTCTCAGTTGACACCACGAACTCCTGAAATATGTTCACCTTGCAGTTTTGTATGGGAAAGGAGGACTATTCAACATGAAAACATAAGTAGAGGTTGGGGATTATTGTTCTAGATACCAAATGAAATGTTTTCTTTCTCTGTTTTTCCATCTCAGTTCTTCATGGCCTCGACTTGGAGAGTGAGCACTGTATCTTTGAAAATGTCGGGGGAACGGTGACCCTGATCCCCCTGAGTGGGTCCCAGTGCTCTGTGAATGGTGTTCAGATCATGGAGGCCACACACCTAAATCAAGGTACTGGCTTTTGTTTGTAGTTCCTTGTGTATGTTGTTTCTAGGAAACAAGTTGGCTCGGTAATGGGGGAACATGTGCCTCTTAGGATGAACTGCTGGTTGTTGTAAGAAGGACAAAGACTGTTGGCTTCATGAGGCTGTGTTCTCTTCTGTTTTGTGGGAGGACTTCTTTATAAAATGCCTGTTGTCTTGTTAAATTAAACATATATGTAGTAGCTTGAAAGCTATTGCTGTTATGGAAATAATGACTTTAAAGGAATTTAAGTGAAAAAAGTGACCTTCAAATGCAAAACCTTAACACGGTGGCTTCTTTTAATAATTTGATTACTTTATTTACATCCTTTTTATGAATAATTATACATACAGGATCTGGTATCATATTCTTTTTTCTTTTGAAATTGTTTCAGTATTATAGAAAATTTGCAAGAACTTTTTCATTTCAGGATATTTGGAACTGTTACCATGATGCTCCTACACCCCCTGAGTAGTTCTGTGTGTTTCCTTCAAACAGTGGCGTTCTCCGACGTAATGCCAACATGACCATCCAAGTTAAGGAAGTAGCAGGTGCATTCCTACCAGCAGATTCTCAGACCCCCTTCAAGTTTGGCCGTTTGTCCCAACAGTGTCCGTTATTCAGTCCGGCATCGTGTTGCATTTTTGGCCATGGCTCTAGTCTCCTTCAGTCTGGAAATGTTCCTTGATCTTCCCTTGACTTATGTGACTGTGGCAGTTTTGAAAACTGCAGGTCAATACATTGTGGAATGTTCTTCTACATAAACATGGAATTTATCTGCTGCTTCCTCGTGAGTAGACTAGTACTCTTTTTGACAGTAATGCCAGAGAACTGATGCTTTGTTTTTCTCATGTCCTGGTCCGTGGTTTCTGTTTGTCCCATGACCGAGGATGCTCGTTTTGATTATTCCCTTCAGGAGGAGCGTGCAAGGCTTCTTCTCTCTGAAGTTAATCTCTCACCCCTTTCTTTAAAGAGAGTATTGCAAAGGCACTTTGGGATCGTAAATATGCCGTTCTGTATCATACTTTCACCTGCTGGTTTTAGAATCCAGTGGTTTCCCTTGGAGGGGGTGATGTAATTATTACTCTGATGGCTGACACATGGCGATTTTCTTCCTTCTACCCTTGTTAGTTGGCTTTTTACTGCAAGAAAGAGCTTTCTCTTCTTGCCAGTTATTTATTCATTCATTTATTTAAATGGACAGCATCACATGTCTTGCTCTTCTATTTGGTAGCTTTTGGTCCATTTCTATCATTAGTTGTTTTGATGACCAAATTGTCCCAGTGGGAATTCCTTTAAGTTGGGTTTTGTGTTTTCTTGGCTTGTCCCTATCGTCTGTGATCACTTCCTTACTTTCTGACACAACAAGATATTCCAGGCTCATCCAGTCCTTTTCTGGAATCAGCCAGTTCTCCAAGGAACCCTGCTTCCTTTTAGTGGGAATGGGATTTAGAAACCAAGACCTGGCACTCGATTGCTGTTGAAGTGTTGCTGCTCGCAGGCCCTGTCGGTTAACAGAGTTAGGGAAATGCGCGCGTGTGTGCAAACCACATTTACAACTCTATTTCTGTGTCTGTTTATAGTGGTTTATTGACATACCTGTATTTCACAATCTGTGACTAGGAGTTCACACCAATACTTCTAATTCTAACCCAGTTCCTTAGAGTTCTTTCTAGTTTTCTCCCTTTTCTTATCTGTAGCCCCTGTTCTGACAGTGATAAACTTGATTCCCATTATGTAACCAGTACCCTGTCACTTCTGCGCCTTCCTCGTTCAGGGACCCTCTTCTTCCAGCTCAGGCTGTGACACCCCATGCCGGGCCACCATCGCCCTCACCCTTCTCCTGGTGCAGACACCTTCCTCACCCTACGCCAAGACTTCCTTCTGTTCACAAGCTGATGCTTACTGTGCTCAGCCCTGTGTGATGGCTTTTTTACTGAGCTGTGCAAGAAGGAAGGAAAGAGAGAAGTTGACATTATATCTTAAGCCCTTTTGGGTATAGTATGTATATTTTTTATAATTACAGTTTTTCACGGTTACATGCTGTAATGCCATATCTGCTGTGACATAGGAATTGGTCAGGTGGGGACTGGAAAGCACGTAGTTTATGTGTGTTGGTGAAGTCATACCAGAAATCAGTTCTAAGGAGTTATCTCAGAAACGAAGGACAGGTAGTCTGGACCAGTGGGATCACTGTGGGACGTTCATAGACTCCATCAAAGACGTTCTAAAAGCAGCGGATGGAGTACCCACCTGTGCACCCATCTCCAGTCATCCACCCATCCACCCACTGGTCTCTGCATCAGCTTTTTACTCTTAGTATTTTTCAGTCTCAAGGTTAGTTGAGCTTGGGAGACATCTGGTGCCCTGGAGCTGGCCAGGAAGGTCAGAGGTCAGCAGCAGCAGGTCACCAGCCCAGGACACAGTGAGCACCCAGTGATCATTACCAAAGCAGCATTTCCTGTTTTTTTGTTTGTTTGTTTGTTTGTTTGCAGCCAGGATAACAGCCCTGGCAGTAAGGGGTGAGGAATCTGGTTCTTGCCAGACACCAGTGCTAATCATGGTGAGAAGCTGTCTCTGCCCTGAGCCCAGAAAGTCACCATAATTGACTGACAGACAAGAGATCACTATGTAAGGCTCTTCAGTGCAGTCTCTGGCTGAGAACACATAGACTTGCATGAACAACAGGTGTAACTGGAGGATACACAGTTGACACATGACCCCACAAATGAAGTATGTAACTGGATCTGGACCGCAGCCAGACCACCTGTCTGTCCTGCTTGAAGAAACTTACTTTACCAAAAAAATTAAGAAGTCACACGAGGGGGAGGGTATAGCTCAGTGGGAGGGTGTGCTTAGCATGCACAAGGTCCTGGGTTCAATCCCCAGGACCAACATTAAAAAAAAAAAAAAGCAATAATAATAAATAAACCTGATTACTTCCTCTCCCCTTCAAAGAAAAGAAAAAAGTAGCCCAAAGTACTGTAACTATTTCTTGGCTTTACTTTGTTCTATATTTTTAGATCCAGTATCTCACGATTTCAACGCTTGTTGTGTTGGAATATACTTTAATTGCCGTTCTTATCTGAGTGGTTTTTGCTATTCATGCCTATTAACTTTTTTCAAGGAAACTTTAGACTCATTTTGTCAAGCTAAAATATCCTTTGAGAAATTAGATTCTAATTTTATTTGACTTGTTTTCATTTTTTAAAATACACATTTTCATCTTGGGACTTCTGTTTAGTTAGTATGCCCCTTGTGTTTGAGTCTTCATCTATTTCCTGCTGTAAAACTTTGAAGGCTTTTAATTTATGTGCTTGGTGAATTGTGTTTATTCGTGTATATGAAATTCTGAAGAGGGCTGTATACATGACCTGCTCAAAAATAGAAAAGAAAAAACCTTTCTTATATATTCTATATAATAATCTATTTTGACTATTACGAGCAGAGAGAGCCTTTGAGGAGATCGATTTAAAACCACATGGGGAAGTGAGGCCCAAAGAATGCAGTGTCTGAACCCCAGGGCTTCCCAGTCTTGTGCGTTGTTCCTCCAGACACCCCACATGCAGCCTGCTGTGTTAGTGGAGCCCCTCACAGAAAGTTCCAGAAGGAGTTACATTTGGGATTACTTTGAGGCATTCTCGGGCATAAGCAGTGCTGGGACCCCAAGTAGCCCCCAGAGTTGACCTCGGCTGCTGCTCCCCTGCGTTGTGGCCCGGCCATCAAACTGTTTCCTCTGTGCCTTCCCTGCCAGCCCTGTTTCTCTGGAGCTTCCGGAACTTACACCACCACTGTCCTGGCGCCTGGACGCCGCGCAGGCTGCCAGGTGGATTACAGTGACCGTGGCTCCTGCCCTGTTATGGGTTAAATAGGCTCTTGTGGATTTGCTTGGAAGCTGTTCTGTGTGTGATGTTTTTGTAAGAATGTGAGTTTGTAACTGAGCAGGACCCTGTGCGGCCCTTCCAGGGTCAGACCCCTCCCCCATGTCCTCTGCTGCAGCTCCTTTCCGAAGGACCCAGATCATAGTATCTCATGTATATTTCCTGAGTTTTCAGATGCTAAAAACCACCACTAAAGGGAAGAAATCAGCTACATGAGGATCGAGAGCCCTTAGCCCCCAGACCTTCTGGCGCCTGGGGGCTGGTAGTGTTGACCGCCCTGTTACCTCCACATCAACCAGAGACTTTGCAGAAGCTGATCACATACCTGCCAACCCCCCCCCCTCCTCACCTGGCCTTTAAATATGCTTTGCTGAAACCCTTCGGGGAGTTCGGGGTTTTCCTGGGCATGAGCCACCCCGTCCTCCTTGCTCGGCCCTGCAGTAAACCTCTCTGCTCCAAACTCATGTTTCACTTTGACCTCATGGCGCGGCGGGCACAGAAATTTGCCTTCAGTAACAAGTTCAGAGTTCCACACTACAGACTGAACAAGGAACTTTTACAGTGTATATTGTTTAATATGGGAGCCACTTAGAATTTAATATTGGGGTTATCCTTCCATCTCCCTTCAAAAATTATTACCTTATTTGTTTAGTTAAGAGAAATTGCTTATCATTCCATTGCCATGTACTTATGTAGCTATGATTATGTCTCTAATTCTCTTATGGATTGGGGCAAGGTAAATAAATATAAAGTCTATCTCCCATGCAGTATTTTTTATCAACTTTTTTTTTTAATCTTAAACTTTTGAAGTCCATTAGAAAAAAAATATGCCTATTCAAGTTAGAGATGGCTGGAACTAAATTTTTGATCTTCATATTGGAGCTATGACTTGTCCTAAGAAAGTAGTAGTACTAATTGGCATTGAAGGTTAATTGTCAGCCTGGTCTTTCCCTGCAGGGCACTCTTACGTGTTTTATTACCTCGGTGCCCTGGTTTTCAGACCTGATGGGGTTGCGTTCCTCAGGAATTCTGTGCGGCCGACAGCTTCCGCAGTGTCAATGCTAATGTAATCGACATGGAAATGCTAAAGCACTAAAACACGGTACA